GAGAGATCCCCCCCCCCGCCCCTTCAGCTAAATAATTACAATCAGTCATTCAATGGCGTAGGCAAGATCTTTCCTATTTTATCATCCAGCTTCCATGATGGCATTTTGTCCTCGCTGATCCAAATGGCACTTCAACGTCAGAGCAAAAAATATTTAGCTACAGCAAGTACAATTATTCCACTGCTCATTAGCCTTAAAAAAAAAAAACACAACCAAAATAACCCCCCACAAAGCCTCCAACCCCCCCATGATCACTCTGTTTATCCAGATGAATAAAATTCAATTCTGGCAAATACATCAGCTCTAGCCGAGTACTTCCCGAGAAGCACATTTAAAATAAAGCAAAGGACAAGGCAGAATTTCTTCCCCTTACAGGTTTATTTATGAAATTTTCCCTCTATCTTAGAGGGCTTTTTAAAAATCAAACACTTCGGTGCAGACAGGATCCCGTGCCCGTTTGCACAGCTTTTCCCCAGCTCCTGTGTCCCGGGGGCTTTTTCTTTTGGGGCTGGTGTGGTTCGGTTTCCGATTTGCATTCAATCTAAGCTGGGGAGTAGGGGGCTTAGCGTCGGGAAAGGGCTCAGACTTGTGCAAGGCAAGCTAAATAGAAACTTTTTTAAAAAATTAAAAAAAAAACAACAACCCACCCCAAATCTACCGCAAGCTTTGGTTTGGCTGGGAATGAATGGCAAACTTTTCTCTTGCTTCTCCGAAGCACTTGATTGCACAAAACCCAACGTTGGGTTGACATTATGCACGTCAGTTGTTTAGCATGAAACGTGCTATTAAGTATTGATTAAGGGCATCCACATGTGATTCCGAGAATATGGAGAGCTATTAAGAGCCATTTGACTTTACCAGAAAGTACAGAATATTAGCTAATGAGCAAGGCACAAAATACAATTTCTAATCGTGGTGCGCTGCCACTCCTCGCCCCGATACCTCTGGCATTAATATATTGAAACTATTTCAAAGGGAGCCGGAGAAGGGCAGCGACATGGGTCTATTCCTTGTTTTATTCCAGCCAGAATTTTTACTGGGAACAATGTGACCCAGCAGCTGCGACAGGTGGGAGAAACCGAGCTGAGCCCCGGGTCCGTGTTGCAATGAATATTGCAGGGGAAGTCCAGTTTTGCAGGGAAAGTCCAGCTTTGCTCCCAGCAGAGAAATCAAAGGGATGAGGCTGGAGGAAGGAAGAAAACTTACAGGCGACTTGCAAAATAAAACAGGAGCAATCTTTGACGCTTTCTCCTTCTTCTCGTGTCACTGAGAGGCGTTTCCTGGATCTCAGGGGGAGTTGGGTGGGTTTTTTTTTTTAAAGAATTTGCGGGATTTTTCCCCTGGGATTATTAGGGGGGAAAAAAATCAGGTTTTCTGGGACTCAGCGCCTGGAGCCTGTTAAAACCTGATTTTTATTGATACCGCACTTCCTACCGCAAGATGCAAAGCAAGTCAGTAGAGTTTGTATTACAACTATGTCATAATGTTTCACTGATGCAAAACATGTAGCCAGAGGGGGTTGCTAATGATTCCTGGATTAGAGAGAGAGAGAGAGAGAGAGAGAGGGAGGAAAACTGGTTCCATATCTTCAAAAAAAAAAAAAAAGAAAGAAAGAAAGAAAGCCACGTTAAAAACCATTAATAGCAGGCACCGAAATATCTCAGACACACACACACGCACCCGGATCGTCACGAGCCTTTTAAACACCGCAAACGTTTTGCATATTCCACCTATTAATTATGTTCACAGCCTATTAATTGGAGGAGTGTCTGGGAGAGAGCGCAGCTTCGGACCTGGCGGCCGTGGGGCAGGGGCGAGGCCGGGGCGCTGCCACCCCGGGGGGCGACAGGCGGAGAGCCTGGGGCGCTGCCAGCCGCCCAGCGGGGGTTTCGCTGGGCTCAAGGGGCAAGAGGTTCCCAGGGCCGGGCTCCTGGTCCCTTTTCCTGCCCCCCCCCCCCCGGCTTTG